TATTTAATAAACTGAACACACATTTTTCATAAAAATGAAATTTATTTTAAATTTGGGTAAAAAATTTCATTTGGAAAGGAAAGATTATTTTTATCATATAAAATCATCTTTTGAAAGTCGACTATTTTCATCATCAACGTTTACTACTAATTCAAAACAAGCAGTAGTATGGGATAGATTGATTAGGTAAAATATATAAGCACAATTGAAGAATGATTGAGTTTATGACTTTTTTTTTATAAAAGATTTGTAGGTGAAGATCAAGAAATTTATTTTGGACAACCAATTAATCCTTCATCATCATCTGAAGGTAGTGGAGTAATTGGTAAAGATGAACAAGCAAGTAATGAATTAAAAGCTAATGTAATTGATGGTGATGTATTTGACGAGACTGCTAAAATTACTGATAAAGTGATGACTGTAAAAAAAGTATTAAAAAATCTTTATTATCATTTTTGAATTTTAAAAAGTTCGAATTTCAATTTTAATATTTTTCAAAAAATAATATATTTTAGATATTAACACCATTATCACCAGCACAAATTCCTATAATAAGATGTGTAGGATTAAACTATAAAGCACATGCACATGAGACATCACAACCATTACCAAAATATCCAATTTTATTTATAAAACCTTCTACCAGTTTACAAAATCCTAATGATAAAATTTTAGTTCCATCATTAGCAAACAATAATCAAACAGATTATGAAGCAGAATTAGCAGTTGTGTTGAATAAAGATTGTAAAAATGTTGATGTAGAAAATGCATTAAATTATGTGTTGGGTTATACTTGTGCTAATGATGTCTCGGCTAGAAAATGGCAAGGAAAAACACTTGGATCTGGTCAATGGTGTTTTTCTAAAGTATTTTTAGTTTTTTCTGCTAATATGAAGATGAAGAGTGGTGGTGGTAGTGGGGTGGTGGTGATTGTATAAGTAATTGATGTAATCTTTATTGTTGTTGCTATTATTTTATATTATGTTTTTCTCTAGGGATTTGATACATTTTGTCCAATTGGACCAGTATTAGTATCACCAAAGTTGATCAAGAATCCAAATTCACTTGGTATACGTACAATAATTAATGGAAAAGTTTTACAAAATTCTAACACAAAAGATAAGTATTAAAGAATGTGTATTTAGCAAAATACTTGGTTTTTTATATATTCAATCATTAATTAATCATTTCTTTGGGAATTAATTAAAATGTTATTACATATGATATTTGATGTGCCAAGATTAATTAGTTTTTTAAGTAAAGGAACTACTTTACAAAAGGGTAGTGTGATATTAACAGGTACACCTGAAGGTATGGATATATTTATATTTGGAGTGTTTTAAGTTTTGATTAAAAAAGAGGGAAAGAATTATTATTAAACTTTATTTCAAAAA